CAGCTGGAGGGATGCGGAGGACCACCATTGGGCCAGCCCCGCACGCAGGGGGCCGTTGGCAAGAAGCGCGCGTGGGAGATAGCCCCCCTTGCGGCCAGCCGGGCGCTGGCGGGCCAGCCGGGCGTTGGCGGCCCTGGAGGCCTCGTGCTGCGCGACGTCGGCGGCGCGGTCAAGAACGAAATCAAAACGCACGCTGGCCGAGCCAGAGATCGACAAGGAGGACTTGAAGCTGCCAGGGAGTTCCATTCGCTTGGACAGCTGCTACGACGCGTTGAACACGAAGGTCATCGCAGGGGCGCCCGACAGGCTGGCAGGGAAGGCCGCGATCTCATCCAGAAGGCGATAAAGGCGGAGGGTATAACGATTCACCGCCGAGGAGTGGAACCAGCGGGCTGGTTCGAGGACGGAGTGGGCCATTGTTTGGAAACGATCACGGGCGGACTCGGAGACCTGTTAGATTCGTGAGCGGAGGAATGTTGCCAGCCTCGCATGCCCCTCCTCTGAGACCGGCTTCGCCTTGCAGCTCGGCAGCAAGCGACCTTTTGCCAGCGGTGATACATGACGCCCTGCAGCCTCCCGGGGATGACCGCTGTGCCGAAGAATTCGTAGCAGCAGACTCCTACGCATGATTTAAGCCCGCCAGGCCTTCAGCTGCGAAGCACCCTGCAGGCACAATCCGCCCTGCAGCTTTCGAGAGCCCCCAGCGCTTTACGACGATCCGAAATTTGTAGTATTCGATGCACTCGATGAGATCACTCGTTTGCTTCAACGTCGGGGGAAACACCATCATCATCATCATTATCATCCTCATCACCATAACCATCGCCGTCACAATCGCCATCATCATCATCGCCGCCATCATCACTACCATCGTCATCACGATGGCTGTCCTCATCGCCACCATCGCCACACAGTTAAGCACACCCGTCATACGTTTCGCGGCGCCACAGCCGGCCCGTCCACATGCGTCCGCGCCACCAATTGTGGCACGCACCTCACACGCTTCGTGGCCCAATCTGGGGCTCCACCGGAGGCCCAAACGGCACCATCCACATGCGTCCGCGCCACCAATTTCGCCGTACACCTTGTCTCGCCTCGTGGCCCCAGGGGGAACCCCACCGAAAACCAGAATGGACACGCTTCGTAGTCCCATAGGGAGCCTTTCCCAATGCCCCAGCGTCACCCCCCACATGCGTCCGAACCCCAAATTTTGACACGCCCCGCGCACGCTTCGTGGCCCCATAGGGACTTCCATTCGGTGCCCCACGGGAACCGTCTAAATGCGTCCGCGTTGCTTATGTCGTCGCACCCGTCAGACATTCCGTGGCCCCGTAGGGAACCCAACCCAAAGCCCTAGTACCACCGTCCACTTGATTCCGCGCCACCCGTTTCGGCAGACCCCTCGCACGCTTCGTGGCCCCATAGGCAGCCCCACCGAAAGCCCCACCCGCACCGTTTACATGCGTCCGCGCCACCAATTTGGGCACACGTTTTACACGTTTCGTGGCCCCACAGGGAATTCCACCTGAAGCCCGAATTACACTGTCCACGTGCGTCCGCGTCAACCATTGCGGCATGTCCCTCACACGCTTCGTGGCCCCATCGGGGGTTTTCACGAAGACCCGAATAGCACTATCCACACGCGTCCCCGCCATTTATTTCGGCACACCCCTCACACGGCTCATGGCCCCCAAAGGAGCCACACCCAAAGGCCCAATGGCGCCGCTCGCACGCGTCCGCGGCCAGTGTCGCCGCCCGCATGCGTCTGCGCTGCTGATTTCGGCGAACCCCTCACACGCTTCGTGGCTTCATAGGGCGCTCAACCTAAGGCCCCAGTGGCGCCGCCCGCATGCGCCCCCGCTGCTCATTTCCGCGCACCGCTCACACGGTTCGCGACGCCAATCGGAAGCCCTACCGGAGACGATCATCACAATTGCGTCATTCACAATTGCACGTGGTCGGGATCTTCGCCAGGATAAGTATTAGTTTTGTTTGCAGTTGCCTTTCCTGCACGCGAAATGTCTTTTCAGATGCGTCGACGGAATCCCTGTCGCAGGGCGCTGGGCTCCGCATTAAATTGTTATGGCGAAGGCTTCAACCATCTGCAATTGTGAGTATCGCCGTTATGGGTATCGCCTTGGGTGGGTCTCCTTATGGGGCCACGAAGCGTGGAAAGGGTGTGCCGAGATGGGGCGGGGACGCATGCGGGCGCAGCCATTGGGACCATCGGTGGCGCTCCATGTGAGTCCACGAAACGTGGGAGAGGTGTGCCGACATGGAGCGGGGGCCTCCATGCGAACGTCGCCACCGGGGTCTTTGGCGGAGCTCCCGATGGGGCCACGAAGCGCGTGAGGAGTATGCCGAAACGGGCGGGAGGGACGTATGCAAGCGTCGCCATTGGCTCCTTCGGTGGAGCTCTGTATAGGACCACAAAATGCGTGAGGGGTGTGCCGAAATGAACGGAGGGCGACGCATGTGATCACAGCCGGTGGGGCCTCTGGTGGAGCTCCCCACGGGCCACGAAGCGCCGTATTGGGTGGCGCGCGACGCATGTGGTCACGGCCACTGCGGCCTTCGGCGGAGCTCCCTATGGGGCTACGAAGCGCCGTACTCGGTGGCGCGCGACGGATGTGGTCACGGCCATTAGGGCCTTCGGCGGAGCTCTCTATGGGGCCACGAAGCGCTGTGCTGGGTGGCGCGAGACGCATGTCACGCCACTGGTACCTTCGGTTGACTTCCCCATTGGGCCACGAAATGCCGTGCTGGGTTGCGCGGCACGCATGTGGTCACAGCCACTTCTGCCTTCGGTAGAGCTCCGCATGGGGCCAAGACGCGCCGTACGCGGTGGCGCGGGATCTGGGGCCCTCGGTGGAGCTCCCCCCTGGGGCCACGAAGCGCCGTACTGGGTGGCGCAGGACGCATGTGGTCACAGCCTCTGGGGCTTTCGGTGGAACTCCCTATGAGGCCACGCAACGCCGTACTGGGTGGCGCGGAAGGCATGTGGTCACAGCCGCTGAGGCCTTCAGTGGAGCTCCCAATGGAGCTACGAAGCGCTGTACTGAGTGGCTCGGGACGCATATGGTCACAGCAGGTGGGGCTCTCGGTTGAGCTCCTTATTGGGCCACGAAGCGCCGTGTTGGGTGGCGCGGGAGGCATGTGGTCACGGCCACTGGGGCCTTCGGTGAAGCTCCGTATGGGGCCACGAAGGACCGTACTGGGTGGCGCGGGACGCATGTGGTCACAGCCACTTCTGCCTTCGGTGGAGCTCCCTCTGAGGACACGCGACGACGTACTGACTGGCGCGGGACGCATGTTGTCACACCAGGTGTGGCTTTCGGTGGAGCTCCGTATGGGGCCACGAAACGCTGTATTTGGTAGCGCGGGAGGCATGTGTTCACGGCGATTGGGGCCTTCCGTGGAGCTCCTTATAGGGCCACGAAGTTCCGTACAGGGTGCCGCGGGACACAAAGGGTCACGGCCACGTGGGCTTTCGGTGGAGGTCCCTTCGGGGACACCAAGCGCCTTTCTGGGTGGCGCGGGACGCATGTGGTCACGGTCACTGGTGCTTTCGGTGGAGCTCCCTATGGAGCTACGAAGCGCCGTGCGCGGTGGCATGGGAGGCATGTGGTCATATCCCGTTGGGGCCCTCGGTGGCGATCCCTATGGGGCCACGAAGGACTGTACTGGGTGGCGCGGGACGCATGTGGTCACAGCCACTTGGGCCTTCGGTGGAGCTCCTTATGAGGCCACGAAACGCCGTACTGAGTGGCGCGGGACGCATGTGGTCACAGCAGGTGGGGCTTTCGGTGGAGCTCCGTATGGGGCCACGAAACGCCGTATTTGGTAGCGCGGGAGGCATGTGGTCACGGCCACTGGGGCTTTCTGTGGAATTCCTTATGGAGCTACGCAGCGCCGTACTGGGTGGCGCGGGAGGCATGTTGTCACGGCCACGGTCACTGGGGCCTTCGGTGGAGTTCCCTATTGGGTCACGAAGCGCTGTGCTGGGTGGCGCGGACGCATGTGATCACAGCCACTGGGTGGGAGGGGCGAGGAGCATCACGAGAAATGCGGGCCGCTGTCTCTTCAAAACGAGTGCCCAACACCACAAGATGGTTTGGTGAAAATCGCGCGGACGCCACGTCCTCCCCGATTGAAGCGGTTTCCGGATTTTGTTGTATCTTCGATGTTTGGCGATTATGACAATGAGGCTTAAACTTATTGTTTTGATTGGAGGCCGCCTCTCAAGCGCACGGGATGTCTTCGCTGATGCGTCGTCGATATGTCTGGCGCAGGGCGCTGAGTTCCGCAAAATAAACGTCGCGCTATACGCTCACCGCGGCGTGAAAAGACACCTTGCTTGGGCGGCTTCGGAAAGCAACCGAATGAGTCGCGCTAATCGCGAATTCTCCGAACACATTGTTGCTAGTGCTTTCAGGCGCGGGTTCATATTCTTCGGAATGTTTGTTGGGAGTTAAATTCGAAAATCACACCTTGCGCAGGCGGTCAGGAATGCGACCGACGTCGCCGGCCAGACGAACCCTTGAGTCAACATCGGTGCGGATTCATGGCGATGCCAGTCATCTTTCGTCAAAGGGTTTGCACGTCGCACTGCCTGCACGAGTCGTGAGCCACCAGAATTCATGATGTGACTGTTTTTGTGATGCTGATGATGATGATGCTGATGATGGTGATGGTGATGCTGGTGTTGGCAATGGTGATGGTGATGCTGCTGATGATGATGGCGATGACGACGACGACGACGATGATGATGATGATGACGCGGCTGATTGTGATGGTGGTCATGATGGTGACGGTGGTGGCGATGGTGATGGTGATGGCGATGTTGGTGGTGACGATGATGGTGACGCTGATGTTGGTGATGATGATGATGATGATGATGATGATCACGTGGTTGATGATAGTGTTGGTGATGATGGTGGTGCTGATGATGGTATTGACCTTGATTGCGATGAGGGCTGCAACCTTCTTGGGCGCCCCAGGATACCATGCCCGGCGAGCTGGAGGCTGACGGGAGTTTGCGAAGGGGAGGGGTGCCGACGGGAGGGCGCGGGCGGACGGCAATGGGAACAGGGGTGAATAAAGGCGCACTTGTCCGGCACCTTCGGGGGCCGTGGTGGCAGTTGAAGGGCCTTGAATGGCCTCTTTCCCATAACCCTCGGTCGCCAGCAGTTGATTGCCCTCTGTTAACATCCACTCGGATTCCCGATGCAAGTGGACGTCTACCGGAAACGGTGGCCCCTGGCGCGACGCCAGGCTCCCAATGAATTTGAGCGACCCCTCCTCATCATGCTCCAACTCATCCCCATCCTCATCATCAACAGCAGCATCATTATCCTGCCCCATCGCCTCCCTCCGTCCTCCCCGCCGTTCCCGACATCATCCTGCCCCCTCGGAAGAGCGCAGGGCGAGAAGGAGGAGGAGGACTGAAGGGGAGAGGAGAAGGAACCAGAGGAAGATGCAGGAGCGGAAGGAAAAGAAGCAGGGAGAGTAGGAGAAGAAGGAAGGGCAGGAGCAACCGCAGGAAGAGGAGCTTCAAGAGGAGGAGGAGGAGGAGGAAGAAGAGGAGGATGATGATGATGATGAGGAGGAGGAGGAGGAGGAGGAGGAGAAGAAGGAAAAGGGGTAGGATAAGGAAAACGAGGAGGAGGAGGACGACGAGGAGAAGACAGAAGAACCCTAGCAGGGGGAGGAGGAGGAGGAGGAGGAGGAAGAGGAGGGCTAGGAGGAGGACGAGGAGGAGGAGGAGAAGGAGGAGGAGGATGAGGTGGAGGAGGAGGAGGAGGAGCAGGAGGAGGAGGAGGAGGGGGAGGATAATCAAGTCGCGCTCAACCGCTGCCTGGCCGCCTCCCTCGTTTGTTCACTCCCTCCCGTCCCTCCCCTTCCATTCCCTCACTCGCGTGCCATGGCATGGCAGCTCGCGCAGCGGAGGAAGGGGCCGGCTGGCCGCGACTGGGCGCTCCTCGCCCAGGAGGTCCTGCAGGCCAAGTAGCCGTCCGAGAAGGAGAAGGAGAAGGAGAAGGAGAAGGAGAAGGAGAAGGAGAAGGAGAAAGACTGGCGACCAGAGTGGACGTGCCCGTGCGGCACTACAAATTGGTTGTCGCGCAGCTCGTGCCGCAGCTGTGGCTGGGCTCAGCGCGCATGCGGCACCATGGCCGGCCACGGCCCGGAACGAGCCCGCCCACCCTGGAGGCGGCGAGGCCGCCAGCACCCGAGGTGAGCGCCTCCGCGGCCGAGGGCACGCCGCCTTGGAGGCTTCTGAGGCGAACCTGCGCGCCGTAGGGCTGGAGATGCAAGCAGAGAAACGTTCGCAGCAGGCCGCCGAGCACTGGAAACGCGCCGCTGCCAGCCTGGGCCCGGGCAAGCGGCTCCACCTCTTGGAGGCCTTCGTGGCCCGCGCTTCCGCCCGCGTGGAAAGAGCCGCGAAAAGAGTCGAGGAGGCCGCCCTAGCGTAGGCGCGGGGCGCACCCGAGGCGCTGCAAAGGGAACTGGGGGAAGGCCAGGCCAAACTCCAGCGCGCCGAAGCCGCCGCGGGAGGGGCCCCTGCGGAGGCGCCCCCAGAGGTGCCCGCTTTGGCGATGGCGGCGCGAGAGTTCCTAGGGCTGCTGGAGACCAGGACCTTCGCGACCGCGGGGGGCCCGGAGCCTGGCGGCGATGTGCGCTACGCGCGCGGCCATCGAGGCCGCCGCGGCGCGTCGAGCCGCTGGGGGGCGCAGCTGGCGGCCGCGAGGCTTGGGCGGACAGCGTGCCCGCGGACGCGGCCCGAGAAGACGGCTGTCTTTCGGAGGACGAGCTCATGGACGAGCTCGCGCGAACGGGCGCGGCCGACGACCGGGCCCTGCTGGAGACGGCCCGCCCGCGGTCCGTGCGCCGCACGGGCGACCGACCCGCTCCGCGTTGAGGCGCCGGCGCGGCTACGCCGGCGCCCGCGTGGGGGAGGCGAGCAACCCCGGGCCGATGGGCCCGGCCTGCCACGCGGAGGCGGGCTACTATACCGAGCAGAGACGGGGGGCCGATGCTCCGCGTGCGACGGGACTGGCGCCAGCGACTGGCTCCGCTGCTGGAGGGACACGAGCCCGTCATCGCCAAGGCGCGCCACCCGCTCTGCGAACTACTTCGCCTCCGCGGCCTGGAGGAAGTATACGGCGCTGAGAGGTCCGGCGAGGCATCGGCCGAAGGCGGTTCGGAGAGTCTGACCTTGGGGAGCAGTGCGTTCGAGACCACCGTTTCGGTTCCGAGCCTGTTTGTTGCGCGGCGGGCTCGGCACTGACGAGTTGGCCCGGAGCAATCGGAGCGAAGCGTAGACGATGGAAAAAGGGGAGGAGGGGGTGGCGAGGAACAGGAGGAACGCCACCGGGGGAAGGCGGATTAGAGGGATTGTTTCGGCCGAAGTAGCTTCATGCTTGACGAACGGGCGCGGCTATCTCGTGACCTAGAGTGGGCGGTGCTGGAAAACAACGGCTTCGTGCTTCGTGACAGTTTGGATGGGGACCGGCCGATCCTCTTTCACTGAGGAACCGCGTCGCTGGCGATCACGCCTTCCCACCCCGATGCCCATCACGGATCCGATCGAATCCTGGCCAGGGTGTGGCATCCCTGAGCGGGGAGGCGAACATGCAGAAGCAGTGGCCATGCTAAAGCAGTAGTCCGCCAAGAAGATGGAATCAATACCGGCAGAAGGACGGGGCCATGTGCTAACCATCCCCACTTCGACCCAACAGGCTCAGGATCGCCCCCTTTTTGTAAAATTCAGTTGTTTTCGCAAGAAAACTCGTGCACGCCCCCCCCCCTCCCCGCAACTGTGAAGCATTGGTATCTTCAAGCTTCAAGCACGAGTCCATGTTTTCAGAATTGTCCACCCGCTGGACGTTACAATGTTGTGATATTCGCAGTCATGTTACTTATGACTTCCAGCTGCGGGGGGGGAGACGAGGGGAAGGGGGAGGGGGACCAGGAGAGGGACAGGGTGGGGCAGGAGGAAAAGAGGGAGAGGAGGAGGAGGAGGAGGAGGAAGAGAAGGATGATAATTGGGAGGAGGAGGAGGAGGAGGAGGAGGAGGAGGAGGAGGAGGAGGAGGAGGAGGAGGAGGAGGAGGAGGAGGACGAGGAGGAGGACCACCAGCAGCAACAACACAAGAAGAGTGAGGCCACGCCTGGGGCCTGGGCGGTCGTTCGGTTCCCAGGCGTTGCTCGGCATTGCCGAGACCTCTGCGGTGCGAGTGGGAGAGGGCAAGTAGCTTGGATCTTGAGTAGGAAGCGCGGGCGCGAGCGGAGGGGGAGGAGGAAGAGGAGGGGGGCTGGACTGGACTCGTCGTGAAAGCAGGAGGATCCAGGACAACACAGGCACACCTGCAACAAGCGTGGAGAGACCTGCACGACCTTCAGGGGCAACTCATCCAAGTACCATTGCACGTGGCAGGCGCCTCCATAGGCTTGATCAGTACAGATGAGTGTGTAGCCCTTGGCCACGTGGATGTTAATGTAGTGATGAGGGGCAGACTTTGCCAATCCAAGAGGCGACAAACACAGACCATGCTCAACTCCTGAACTGGGGCGGGAACTCGGGCAGTTCTGCACCATAGCGTGCGCAAGCAGTGAATGCCATAGCACGGCTAAGGAACACACGTCAGGGTATAATACAGCTTCGCCACGTTTCGAGGTTCAGGCCATACTGCTAGTTTGCTGTATCCCGCGAAGGACTGTGGCCCAGCAAACGCCGACACCAGACGGCAACACCAACACTCTGGTCTCGCACATGTTCTGGACCACATGTTGACCACCCTCCGCTGGAATGAACACAGCATGAGCAGGTCAGGCCGCCCTTTGATGGACAATTTGGAGGTCGTCGCCGAGAAAACCACGAAGCGACACGTTTTTCACAAAGCATGTTGACGTCGCTTTTGGCTTGCTTTTGGATCCGCCTGGAATTGTTCTGATGTGCGGAGTCGCGAATCCGTTACTACATCGCTTGGCCAAGCTAGCCATGCGGATGCCCTCCGTAACGTAACCGCAGCGGGCGCACACTAGCATCAAGGAGTCGGGGTATCCCGCGAGCATCAAAATCAACACACCCGCGAGGGTCGCAGGGCAGGTCGGTGATGATCCGATTGCAACCGCGGCACTCCGCGGATGATAGCTGAGAGTCACCGCGTTGCTTGCGCAGGCAGGCGGTGCAGTACCATCTGCCTCCGCGCCAGATCCACGGGTGCGTGAGGCCTTCAGCCTGGGGGGAGAGGCGAAGGAGGGGAAGAAGTGGATGCATGGGGTGGGTTGGCCTTCCAGAGCCACCATAAGATGCAGGCAAGCAACGGAAACACTGGGCTGGTGGGAGGGTATTCCTCACAGGTTCGCTTGTGCCGATTAACTCACTTGCCGACAAACCTGAAGTCGCCGTATTGCGTCCCCTCCTGTCGCGCTTGGTGCGATGCCCACGCGATACGGGCCCAAAACAGGGTCGCTTTGGCGACATACGTTACATCCTCTACGGCAGCCTCTTCATCCGCAGGAGGAAGCGGTTGTTGGAGAGGGCAGCGATTTTTGCCTTCTGGTCGGGCAGGAGGCAGTGGGGAAGGGCAAAAAGAAGGGCTTCAAGACGAGGGCGAGGAGGTGGAGGAGGGCAAGGAGGGGGAGCAGTCCAGGAGCAGCAGAAGACGAGGGAGGACGGGTGAAGGAAGGATGGAGGAGGAATCTTACGACTCTCAGCACCAAGCAGTGTACATGTAACGGATACTGCGCCGCGAAATCACAACCGTTGCCACAACCAGAGGACGGAGGAGGGAAGGACGGAGAGGGGACGGACGCAAGGACGCAGGAGGGACGCACGGAGGAGTGAGCGACGGAGGAGGGACGGGCGGAGGGAGGGGACGACGCCTCCGCCCGCCGAGCCCCCCTGCAGCCCCCGAGGGCCTGCCGGTGGAGGCGTTGGTGCTGAGCTCGGCGGGCGGCAGCAGGCCTTTCTATATGGGTGCCGACGAGGCGTTGGCGGATCTGGCCGGGGAGTGCATCGAAGAGGCGGGCTCACCTTTTTATTCTTCCCTTTCTGTTATATGTGTCTCTTTTCTTTTCTTCTCCTCCTCCGCCTCCGCCGCCGCCTCCTCCTCGTTTGGCCCACGGTAGCTCAAGGTGACTCAAGGTGGCTCAAGCGTCCGGTGGCTCAAGGTGGCTCAAGGTGTGGACTCAAGGAGTACAACATAAGTTTAGTTCAAGCCAATCCGCTACCTTACCTTCGGATTGCTCAGATTGGGTTGCGGCTCTTTCCAGCTCTTTCTGGTTCAGAGTGGGTCGCGCCCCGTCCAAGTGCAGTTGTGATTTTCTTCTGCGTGGGTTGATTCAACTGTCCACAATGGCGCTTCAGATTGGGCAGGTCTTCCAGGATATTCTCAAAATGGAAATCACCAAGCCGGGGGCCCGTAAGGCTGCCAGCGTGGACACGGAGAACGTTGAACGCAGCACCAAAGAGCCTCGCAAGCCTCGGAGAAAATTGATTTTCTTTGGGTTATTCGGGTTCCGCGGCCTCGGACAATTCGAGACTTGCTTTTTACACAATTTAAAACCCGACGAGACAGACAGTTTGTTCCTTTTGATGACATGTTTGGTCCGATCTCATATAACATGCCGGTTTTCCGAAAAGATGTTCCTCAAGAGTTCTCGGCAGTAGCCGAGGGTGTCAACAGCAAGGCAGCACATATTGAAGCACCCAAACTCGAGAATGAGACTTTCAAAGCCTATGGGGAGAAGGTTCAGTTGCTTGAGACCGAACAGAAGGCGCTCAGGGCTGAAACTGCAGCCAACAAGGCCTCTCTTGTAGTTGTGGGTTCTTCTCCGAAAAGGGGGCCACCCGTGGGCCAGCGCCCCCTTGCTCAGAGAGAGAGAGAGAGAGATTGTTTCATAATGTCAAATCTGGGTTGGGATCTTAAGACGCCAGAAGCTCTCGAGAAAACCATGGATGTCACCCGTCGAGCGGGGGTCGCCCAGCCTGTGGACATTGTCGCCCCCTACGGATACGGCAGTTGTGTTGAGATCAAATGGGCCTCGGTCGCAGAAGGGAGTTCAAGCTGCTGAGGCAATTCGCCAGAGGGCTTTCTTTGGTCCCGGGGACAGGCCGATTTGGCGCGGTTAGATCAGCACGAAGGAGTAAAGGGCTCCAGGGACGTTTTTGTTATGTTATGCTACATATATATATGCACACACCCCAAAAAAGTGGCAGACGCCGTCGCAGCCGCCGTGGCACGGAACGCCGACTCCTTTGTGATGTGCGCTCGCACTCGTAAGATCTAGGTTGAAGATCATATCGTCGGGGCGGATATTGCAGGGGAATGGACGTTGGATGATGTTTGTTTCGAATGGACCCCAACGGCCCAATACAGGGAAGCGGGGCGGTAGACGAAGCCCTCAAGAAATGCGGGGGTCACGAGCACGTTAGGGGGCTCGTCTGCGCTCTGAACGTTTAGGGCAGATGCGCAGCTGATGCTGCAATTTACGATATCTTGGGTTTAGTCGAGCTGAAATGCTGGGGTGTCATTGCACTCTTAGGGGCGGGCTGCGGTTCCGAAGAGGGTAATGGGAACTCTCTCCTACCTCGGGTGGTCACGCCTTCCTCCGCCATCATCCCAGCCCTGGGCGCAGGGCCTTTGGGTATCCTGATTCATCATGACATCTGCGATCGCATCCTAGCCATGAAAGATGACTTCTGCGATTGGAGGTCACTTCGTGTTGACCTCCTTCCAGTTTGTCTTGAAGGTTGCCACAATCCTGCCCGCTTTCTTTTTTCGTCTAGCTCAGGATCTCTTTGCAGATTCTCTCGACGTTGCCATTGCTCTTGGGAGAGCTCGACCCAGGGGTTCCATTCTTCCCTGGCTGGGGGGCATGCATGCTGGTCAAAGACATGGGGGCCCCAAGTTTGAATCCCCTCTTGGCGCGCGTCGCAATCTAAAATTTGGCTGGGCTCCTCTAAGACTTTTGGAGACCAGCATGCCGCATGCCAGGAGACCCGACGCGGGTCAAGACCCTTCCCAAGACTGTTCTGTCACTGGTCATGCTGCTTCGGATCGGGGGGGGGGGGGGGGGGGGGGGGGGCGGTGCTCAATCAGATAGCTTTGCACGGTGTGCTGGGACGCCAGGGGGTCATGCGTTGATCGGTCGCGATGCGCTGGCATTCTCTACCAGGCGAAAGTCGCGCAGGCCATTGCTCTGGGCCCCCTCCAATATTTTTGACGTTTCCAGCATTGCTGAACATATTTTCCCCGAAGCGTCGGAGCTGGTCCGTTTTGATTGGGGCGAACGTCCTGATTCGTACTCGGTGAAATTACAGGACCCGGCTGGTCTGGTCTCTTCCATCAGTTTCTGGGAGCCGATTCTGGGATAAGCGCGCCGCCGCGCAGGCCCCGCCTAGGAAGATCAGAAGATTCGCGGAATAATCCTTTTGGATCAAGTCCTCGACAGCAAAATATCGCGTTCTGAATGTAATTGGGAAAAACGCGTTTCGGTGGTTCGGTGGGTTCCCTGCTGATGAGAGCTCTCAGGATCATGAGATTTGTTAGGGGTCTAGTCGGGTTGCCCTCGTAACATCTCAGAAGGCGTCGACGTGGGCCCGTGGCAAATCCCTTCTCCCCATTCTTGGTTTCTTTCAAGATGGCCCAAAGATCTTCGCCCATGCAAAATGCGCCCAGCTTGTCTGCCGGGAGCATTTGGTCAGGCGGGGTCTTTCAGAGGCCAAGAGGGAAGACGATCGCATGCTTCGCAGTTTTGGCTTCTTCAACGACTTCGAGACACCGGTTGCTCAAGACATCTTGGATGGGGATTTTGATGACATCGAGGTTCCCCGCAAGACAGATGCCTACTTGGGTAGCTCTGCCATTATCAAGATTGCAGGATGGACGAATAGGGTCGACCCTGGTAGTCAAGCGGCTCATGGGTTCCAATACTTTCTGGTCGGGCATTATTTTTCAAGGGGTTCTGGGTAACCAAATCAAGAGCTCCGGTCAGCCGCCTCTAACTCGAGTTGTCACTCCTCAGCCCGCGATCACCGCGGTCTGCCATGCATGCATTGCTCGTTCCATCCAGCCCGCACTGGATAACTACACTCAGTCAAAAGGCATTCCTGGCCTCGTCTAGGGGTTGAATAAAGGGGGGCAACCCAAAGAGCTTCGCACTTCAATTTATCATATACTTGCGTTTGGCCGCGATCACTTCAACAATGGCATGGTGGGCGTCGAAGACATCAAAGCTCATCGCGATCAAATGAGTTATGGGCTGGCGCCCAAAAGCCCCATTGGCATAGGAGTCCGTCGCATGTTAGCAGTGGGCTGCCTGAGACTTCACAGGAATCCCCGGGCCACCATCGCCCTTTTGGGCTCAGAGACGGATGTGATTGATCGCCCAAAAGGGTTGAGCTGGCACTGCACGCGCGCTTGCAAGAATCACCGTGGAAGACTGTTTCATTTGTGCTCTTGAAAAAATATTGGGCGCCCCCGGGTATCCAACTTAGAAGCGAGTCCTTGGGAATTGACTTCGCTCTCTCCCTCTTCAGTTGGTCAGGCAACTTCTGCACGATAGGTTCCAGCTTCGAATATTGAACTCGGCTCGCTGATGTCCTTGCAGGGGTTCTCTGGGAATTGCACAGGCCCCGTCTCAAACCAGACAGCGAAATTATCGCCTCCTATCTCCGCGCTTTCGACAGCTACTACAGGACGGGCGCATATGGTTCCCAGTGGACCGTCGCATCTGGGGCCAGGGTTATCGGTCCCATTTGGCCCTCCAGCGGGCCATGTAACGCGGGTGTGCGAAGGGGGCTTCAGCATATTAGTAGCGCGTTCTGGTTCAATCGCATATATCTCGTGAGTGACAATATTCCTCTGAGCACACGGCGTGCGAGACATAACAGCATGGCCTGTGGCATCGTCAGTTCGAGAGGTGCTGCCTGGGTTCCTTCCAGGCATACTTCGGACATGATTCCCAACGCTCGGGACAAGCTCTTTCGAAGCATGCATAAAACGAAAAGACAGTCCGACCAGTTCAACTTTGGGAGAACCAGGAAAGTCAAGCAGCACAGGGACGTCTGCTGGGCTCTTGTTCATGCGGAATCGGCAATTTGCTGGATAGCACGCATGCAGAGGCATCTTGAGGATCATTATTCCAGGCTTTTTCGTATTTGTAGTCACTGGGTTTCAGAGCGCAGGGGTTTTGATAACTCTTGAGGAAGCCGAACCATTTCTAGGACTCACAGGGGCCATGTTCTCCGATGCGATTACCGGTCTTGGACCCCCCGTTTCTCTACGGAGGATTCTCGAGATAAGATAGTGCGTCATCCACTGGCTCGGGGCATGTTTGATTGGGCCATGAATTCTAGACGCTTCGCGCATCCCCACCAAAGACGCTCGGAGGCGCCTTCAACGCTGTTTGGCACGCGTGGCCCAGGCGCGCGGCGCAGGGCAATGGAGGCAAGGGGGATTATAAGAACAACCCCTGGCTCAACACACCCGAGACATGCTCGAGCTTCGCGGGCGCCCGGAGGTGGGCCGGCTTCGACGCGCATCGGATGAACAAGGAGCACAGGTTCGAAGTAGACTGGGGCGCCATCCGCCGCAAACGCGCGAAGGGCGCCGGGCGGCACGGTGGAGCATCGCAGGCCCCCTGGGCAGCTGGCAGTCGGGGCCCGCCGGCCCCCTGGTCAACAGAGACCCGCAGGGGCGGTCCGTCAGAGGCCCAGGCCCCTTGGGCAGCGAACAGTCCCACAGGGCAAAGACGACCCCCCTTTGGGCGACGCCGAGTGGAAAGGGGGGGGGGGGGGGGGCAAGCGCTTCCTCCAGCGCGACGATCACCGCGACTCCGAAAAGCGAGGTCGGTGGTGGACTTGAAGCAACACGGCAGCGTCTCTGAGAAGGTCAGCCGCTGCCGCGCCGCAGACTCCTGCGGGAAAAGTGGCCTGCAAGACGGCAGGCCCCGAGGCCACCCCGCCGCTACTGGCGCTGACCTCGGATTTACTTCGCAACCACCCAGCCGCCGCCCCATCG